CCCACGGCCTCCCCCAGGACACCCCCACGGCCTCCCCAGGACCCCCACCTGCAATGCCTGGAGCCGCTGCCTCGAATGCCGTGTTCCCTCTAGCGGCCCAGGCAGGACAGGCCCACCCCCAGCAGCACAGCCTCCTGCCCCAAGCTGATCCTGACCCTTGGTCTGTCTGTCACCTCCACACCCTGGCGCCCTCCCCGGGGTCTCTCCTGGGGGATCCTGCAAAACCAAGCCTCATTCCCACCCCAGGCCGATGCTGCCCTGAAGCCTCATTTCTGCCCACCGGCCAGGGTGCCTTTAAGGACAGGACTTGACTCTTACCCCTCGACTTTCTAAGTATCTCCAACACTTAGCCCAGAGCTGAGCAGACACACGCTGGATGCTGACTACAGTGCTGATGCTGGTGTGGGCCACGGGTGGACCACACGCCTCGACCCTTCCTCACAGACTGACCTGAATACGAACGGGCCATGGCGACACGGTGGCCCCGCGCGGTTGTGACAGGGGCCGCTCTGCGGATGCACCTCTTGGGAGAATGGAAGCCCACCCACTCAGTCCTCCCGGGGCGGAGCCGCGTTCTCCCAGCGCTAGGGCAGCCTCTGTCTCCCGGCATCTCCTGGCACAGGGCTCAGGCGGACCTCAGTGAGGCTCACTCTGACCTGAGAGTCTCTTGCCCCGGAGGCCGAGGAATGGAGTCCATGGCAGGGAGCCCAACACCAGCTCTGCGCTGTCCCCAGAAGTGCCCACTGCCTCCCCGAGCAGACACGTGACCGGACTTCTCTATGAGCTGCCAATGGCGGGGCCGTACGCAGGGAGAAGTGCATCCAACACCGAGGCCTGGCCCCTCTCCACATGCGCCTGACGGTTCCCACCCTGCGCCCGTACATGGGGCCACCTCGGCCCTTGGACCTCACGACCCGCTGGCCTGGCCCCTCCATGGGCACCGTGACTGCTGCATAGCTGCCTGCGCCCACGCAGTGCCTGGGGTACACGATCCCTCACGGGAGACGCCACGCCCCCAGCACTCCTGCTGCCATGGGGGTGTGAGTGGGGTGGTTTTCACCTGGCCACCAGGGCTTCCGCATCAGAGCATGAGGGGCCCCAAGGTGCTCAGTTTCCTCCCAGTCTCTCTGTTCTCCCTCAGAGCGGTGCCCCCCTCTTCCTCCTACCCCGCTTGCACCTCAGATGTCACTGCCTTCCTGCAGCCTCCCCAACTCCCACACCCAGCCTCAGACCCCCACGCCCAGCCTCGGACCCCCACGCCCAGCCTCACTGGCTGCCTCAGCCTCCATCTTGGCCATGCCCTCCTCACAAGGCCCCTGGGTCCCCAGGAGCAGCCCCTCTGGGCTCTTCCATCATGGGAGGGCTGGACCCCCAGGATGAGAGTGCCAAGGCCCTTGGAGGGACAGCCTGGACATCTCAGCCCCACGTCCACCACGGCCCCACTGGAGACCACCCCAAGGGCTGCCAAGGAGAGGCCCGTGCACCTTCTCACTCTGTCCTCCCCTCCCCTGGCTGCTCCCACTGGCTGCCCCCACCAGCCTCGACCTCCCGACGTCCAGCTGCCCCAGGGAGTCCCTTCTGCAGCCTCCAAGAACCTCCGATGAACAGGGCCTGCCCGTGGCGCACCGACTCAGGCATCCTCTGGCAGCATCCCACTCCACGTACAGGGGCCAGCAGCACCTCTGCCCGAGCACGGACAGGCAAAAATGTCTCGGGCTTTGCCAAAGGCCTCTAGAGCCAGCACTGCCCCCATGAGAATGGCTGAGCTCACGGGCCGCTCCCCCAGACCCTTCCCCCAGCACCTTTCTGTTCTCAGCTCCTGCCTCTGCTCCCAGCCCTCTGCCGGGCCAGTCTCCTCACTGGGCCAATGCTCAAGGCCGCCCGCCAGGAAGGAGGCTCAGCTGTCCTTCCCCAAGCTCCGCAGTCCTCACCGTCCCGCCCACTCCCCCGGCCCCGCAGAGCAGATGAGCACTGTCCTTGTCACCGAGGGGAGGGACCTCGGCACACATGCCAGTGGCTCAGTGGCTGGTCTGGAATCTGCTTGAGACAAAGTAGCTTACCTGGGCCACACAGGCTTGCGCCTGGGCAGCTGGCGTTGACGCCCACCACATCCACACAGCACTCGGGCAGCTGGGCCTGGAGGGGACACAGCAGTGAAACTCCAGGACGCACCTGCTAGGCAGGCTCGTGCCCAGAGCGGCAGTGGCTGAGGGGTGCCGTATGAGCACATCTCGACATCCACAGCTCCAGCCTCTCCTGGAGTCAGCATCGGGTGGCCCTCTGTCCCCTGTGGGCCTGGGAGCAAGGAGGGGACTCATGGCCACAGTGCACATCCCTGTGGGACCCTGGGTGGGCGGTCTCCAAGGAAAAGCGGGGCCTGGAACAGAGTAAACCACCCCCACGAGGTGGCACCCGCAGGCCGTGGCAGTGCCACTGACATTCTCTGCAATTCTCTGGACACCCCTCCATCACAGGTTTCCAGCCTGACCCCACAGAGGAAGTGCCTGGGCCTGGCTGGCATTTCAGGGGACGAATTCACGCCTGGGTGCCCAGGTCAAGCCTAAGCCATGGGCTCTGGAAGGAGGGCGGTGGGCCCTCTCCTAGGGTCTAACCCTTCAACCTTTAGGACACTGATGTCCCAGTCCAGAGGGTGGCTGACCGGGCCACTGCTGGGGTCAGGGGCCTGTGCCTCGCAGAGGGGAGCCCTGCACTGCCTGGCGCTTGGTGAGCACCTGCTCAGGATGGCTGGGTCTTGGCGGGCCCCCATGGTGGAGGCAATCGTGACGCAACTGGGAGCAGCTCTGCCCAGCGGTGACGGCCACAGCCCGCGGCACGTTGCTATCGGGGAGTGTAGCTGCCAGCGGTTCCCGACTCCCAGTCGGAGTGGTGGGGGGGTGGGGACCCTTGCCACCTGGCTGGGGCGTTTGGAGGGACTGGATCTGGACCTCTCCCTGGCGGTGGATTCTCTCCCGTACTCCACCGTCACCTGGACGCCCTCACCGTTCACTGCATTCAGGTCACGAGCAACAGCACAGCTGTGATCAACACACAAGCTGAGGGCACCCTGAGCCCCCCAGGCCTGTCCAGCCTGCCTGTGGTTAAGGAATGGGCCCTCACACACACCGTAAATGCCAGCACCCAGTGCACTGTGCAGC